AAAACCTGGTGAGGGAGGAGGGTCTCAGAGCCCAGGTTCCAGCCCAAGCGGGAACGTCTACACTGCTATTTTTAGACCCTTAGTGGGAGTCCCAATCAGTTGACCCAGGCGTAGAGACTTGTTGCTGACATGAGTTTTTGCAATGTAACCATATCCTTAAGCCCCAGAAATCAGATGAAATAGTAAAATCACCTTCCATGGAAATGTCACACACCAATCACTTAGTAGTTCTTGGTGTACATTGATGGGAAATCACACGGTTGTCATAGGACAGTATACTATGTTCTGTTTCCTACTGCACCAGCCCACGGATTCCATTACTACCATTAATTTCACAAAATGCTACATATGTTTGTACCTGTATATAGTATGCAAAGGGCTTATTTTTGGAATCTGTGTACCAAATACATACAAAGGATATTTTCCAGAGTTTAACCTTCACCCTCTAAAAAAGGCTTTTGGCAGGCACTTTGACATATAACGATTTCTGCACCTCCTCCTTTCATCACTTCTGGCCAACAGCCCAGGTGTGCTCCCTAGTGCTAGACTTGACTATGGTAACGTCAAGATGATAGTTGGAGGGAGAGGGAAAGAACACACACAAAAATTGAGAGCAGAAATGTGGGGACTTGAGTCACATTTCAGGGGTGGTTTGAATATTAACTCTTCACAGTCAAATCTTTACTGGTAAGAGTACTACAAAACTTAAATTTATCTTTGGTTTCAAATGTAAAATGAGATGCCCTTATCATACCTTGAAATGGGACTTGGAAAAGCCACTCACCTGTGCCAAGAGGGAAACTTTCCTTGGTGAGTGCAGGGGCTGCAAACAATTTCTGCAAAATTTAGGCTGTTATTTAAAACCACTATTAGGATTCTAGCTCTTATGGGTGCAAAGAAATTTTTCCAAATTTGCACTAAGTGTAAACTGGAGCAGTGTCATCTTCCTGAGTCTGTAGAAAGATGGCACTGGGCCTCCTGCTGCTAATAGCTTGCCAAACAACAGCAAAGCGAAACTGATAAGACTGGAAATCAGTTTCACTGATGATTTTCAGAACTCTGAAGACATCAAGGAAACTGAAGGATCATGTTGTTTTTTTCATGCTGTTGGTTCAGAGAGGCAGCTGAGACAAGAACCAGAGTTCTTCATGGGAAGACCCAAAAACAGAGGCTAGGAGAGGTGTAAAGTAATAGAAACCTATTTCCTTGTCCTCCCCTCAGCTCTTTGCAGCAGCCAGGAAGGCTCTGGAGGAGAGGTAGAGGTTCAGAGTATATGACAGGAACAAGGCCAGGATTCTGGTAGAAATTCTAGCATACATTCCCATTCCAGTAGCTGGTGGTGGAGGCAAGACTGAGCTTCTCCAAAGGGCATTGCCCCTAGGCCTTGCTTGTCATCTTTTTGTGTCTACCTCTGGCTAGCAATTATGTGTTTAAAAAAAAATTGAGCCCTGCCTCAGAATGCCTGCTCTAGCCTTGCTCTGTGAAATTTCTTTTGATCATTTCTGTTGAAAAAAAGGAGACTAGGAAATTACACTGTATCTGCATTTGCTAATTGAACTTGCATTGATTGAGCATTGTGTAAAAGCGAAGGGTGGCAGGAACTCTCGCACCTTAATCGTCTGATCTATACAGGAAATAGCCTTCTAAGAACTCCAGTGAGAGGCAAGTTTCAGAGTGGTAGCCGTGTTAGTCTGTATCAGCAAAAACAACGAGGCATCTTTGTGGCACCTTAGAGACTAACAAATTTATTTGGGCATAAGCTTTCGTGGGCTAAAACCCACTTTGTTAGATGCATGGAGTGAAAAATACAGTAAGCAATATATATATATATACAGCACATGAAAAAATGAGTTGCCTTACCAAGTGGGGGGGTCAGTACTAATAAGGCCAATTCAATTAAGGTGGAAGTGGCCTAGTCTCAACAGTTCACAAGAAGGGGTGAATATGAAGAGAGGGAAAATTACTTTTTTTAGTGACCCATCCACTCCTAGTCAGTGGGATCCCTGGCCATTTAACTAAAGAGGAGGCAGGTTCTTGGAAGAGACTATGGGTCTCATCTTCAGCTGCACTGAGACAGCTTTCCACCACCTCCAGGAGCGTGAAGATTTCCTAAAGTCTCTGGCCTGGGGGAATCTCCAAGTAATGTAGAAACACCATAGTCACTCCGATGTCTCCCTCGTCCCTGCATCCGGAACAGGGGCTGCTGCCAGGGAGAAAGAGGCGATGGCACCTGACATCTAAGGACCTCAAAGTACTTCACAAATATTTAATTTATTTAAGCATAATAAGGGCCCATGAAGTAGTTTTGTATTGCTGCCCCCATTTTACAGAAGGGAGAACTGAAGCACAGAGAGTAAATGGCCGGCCCAGTGTCACATGGAGAGGCTGTATCAGAGCCTGGAAAAGAAACCAGAACTGCTGCTATCAGTTCCTTGCTCCAACCTTTAGACCATGCGTCTTTCTCTAAGCACCTAGTGTACCAATGACAGAATACATACTGAAACTTGTTCTCAACAAGTATCTTTAGTTCCGTTTTGACTAAGATCTAATATAATAAACAAATGAGACATGAGGCAGATTCTGGCCTCATAAAGTCAAATGATAATGATGTTGCCAATTTCTCTGAAAATATTTCACCTACTATTGCTATACTTAACTCCTAAGTAACTGAAAGAAATTAGAGAAAATTATTTTCTTTTTCCTTTTTTACTTTGTGCACTTGACAGTAGTGTGTGGAGAGCCAGTTTCATTATTTCTCCAGTCCTGTTAATGCTACTATTACATTAGCACTGAGAGGCATCAACCAATATCAAGAACCCATTGTGCTAGTCACTGTACTGATACACTGTATGAGATAGTTCTTGCCCTAAAGAGTTTACAATGTCTAAATAGACAAAACAGAAAGAAGGAGTGGAAGAGAAGTCACAACTGAAGTTTTGCCTATACGGTGATATCCGGTAAAGTTAATCCAAATTAACTAAAGATATGAATTTGGAGTGAATTAATCAAACTGCATTAAATCCCTGTGTGGATGCTGTTATTCAGAATTAAAGTGGTCTTAATTCAGTTTAGCTTAATTCACTTTGGAAGTGAATCAAGGTAAACAGAATTAAAGCCACTTCAGTTCTGAGCAAGGGTGTTCGCACAGCAGTTTAATGCAGGAGTTTCACTAATCCACTTCAAATGCACCTTTAATTAATTCAGATTAATTTTCCTGGATGCCCCAGTGTAGACAAACCCAAGTGAAGTGACTTGCCCCATGTCACGCAACAGGTCAGTAGAAGAGTCTGGAATAGAACTCAGGTCTCCTGCCTGCCAGTATACAGTTGTGTTTCATGCAGAACATTGGGCATCGGATCTGGCTGGCACAGTTCATTTTGAGTCATGGTGTTTTCTGGCAGATGAATAATTGGAATGGTAATATCAGAAAGCTCTTGTGCTGCTCAGAATATTTTTGGGGAGGGAGGGAATATGTTTCATATTGTGCAGAGCTCCCTATGATCAGGAAAGCTAATCTCTAACCTAACCTACCTTCTGAGGGGGTTATAATATTCTATATCACTGCATATAATAGAGAAGAAGCATGAGTATCTAGCCGCAATCCTGGGAACATTAGAAGTTTGTTAATAATCAAGGAGCATACTCACAAACGGAGGACTGTATACACAGTCACTGCACACTTTTAAAATCTCACTACTTTTTAGGGCCCTGTAGCACACCTGGAATTTTTCAAGCTCCATGGTGGCTGGAGTGGGGAGGAGGAGTTGCTAATCTTCAAAATCGTCTGGACAGCTGGGGCCTCCTACTTCATTCACACTATCAGTTGCCTCTATTATGGAGAAGCCCAAGAGCAGTGCTAGCCTCTCACTGCTATTAGAGGCTAATGCTTTAATCCTTAGATCCCTAAGGATGTGTCTATTCTTCCTAAGGTGAGGGACGGGAACCAAGTCAATGCTGCTCCTGCTTCCTCAGCAGCCCTGTCTCACCCTGCCAGCTACACGAGACCACCTCCTGCCCCTCTGTTACCCCCACTCCCTCCAGCAGGTGAACAGCGTCACATTCTTTCCCCACCTGTCCAACTTCACTGGCTGGCCAGCCTCTCTGCATGGTGACTCTTCTGGGCTCCATGTCAAGAAGCAGACCTGCTTCTCTACGTGTGTGGCAGTGTTAAGATCCCATGCAAGCCAGTGAGTAAGAGAATGTTCCTAGCAAGGAGTGGGTAGGGTAGGACTGCCTCCATCTAGGAATCCCAACACTGCCCCTCCTCCTTGCACCCACAGACCCTTTCTTCTCCAAGGAACAATAGCCCTCTATAGCCTTCCCACTAGTCCAGGAAGGTTGTCAGTCCTGATAGCATAAAACATCTCAGGATGGGCTAGCATCCTATGGGCTGAGAGGACAGCCAAAGAGGATTCCTGCCACAGTCTTGAGTGCAACTGCCCTTTGAACCCTAGGTACTAGATTTAAGCAGAATAGCTTAGACCAGTGGTTCTCAAACTTATTTGATCAAGCCCCCCTTCTTTTTGTCTATAGTTGTTTACGCCCCTCTCCCACAAGTACATATACTGCCACCCAGCTCTGAAGACAGCGCCACGCCAGTAGCAGCACAGAAGTAAGGGAGGCAAAGTGAAAAGTGACATTCATCAATAGCACTTTTCACAGTGGACTTAGCGCCCCATTGCCCCTTACTTCTGTGCTGCTACTGCCATTCTGAGACTGACAACTGGAGCCCCAGTGCATCCTGGTGAGGGAGTGGGGAGGAGAGCCCGGGGGCTATGGCTGGCCTGTTTATCCCCACATCCTGGGTGTGAACGGCCCTTTTGCACAAGCTCTGGCTGCCTGGGGCTGACAGAGCTCTTAAAGCGGGGTGGGGGAGGGAGGGGAGCACACAGCTTTCACCTGCCTTGACACATTCCCGTGTCTCCCTTGGGAGGCCTGCCCCATAGTTTGAGAACCCCTGGCTTGGACTGATAGCATTGCTTTCTCCTGTCTCCTTACAGCTCCTGTATGATAGCCCGAAAGCACGACAGGAGGTGGATCATCACTGGAGGGCATCAGGGTGTCCCCATATTGTCCATATTCTGGATGTGTATGAGAACATACATCAGGGGAAAAGATGCCTCCTCATCGTCATGGAATGGTACGAACCAGGGAAGTCCCTTCCACCTGATCCATATTCTGGAGAGTAGAGGGAATGTGACCTCTGGATGTAAGAGCTGGGAGCAGTCCTGGCTGCACAGTCTTGCCATGCATTAGCCTAGTGCATCTCTCTCTTTATAGGATTTATGGGGAAACCTGCAGCTGCTCCAAGCAGCCTGTCTGTGGGAGGAACAAGAAGACTAATCATGAAACTAACCTTCCTTTGCACTCAGAGAAAAGTATCTTTATGGAAACGTGGGTGTAATTAATACATATATTCACACATGCATCTGTCACTTTCCTCGATAATTCTCATGGGGGCTGACTGTCCTTATAAGGTCATTTGGCTCCCCTCAGGCTATTACTTAACCCTAATTCTTCCCACTGTCCCCTCTTGGTGCCACTGTTGCAATGTTGTCTTCCTCCGGGGGGGACCAGTTTAATATCTCTCTTATCAGTTCCTTATTTGCTTGCTTGCTTCAGTTGTTTCCTCATCCCCAAACCTTAAAGAACTTTTTAGCAGTGCAGTAAGACCACAAGATTGCTATCAGCCTTCTGAACCAGCATCTAACCTGTCATTTCTGGTCTCCCAGCAGAGATGTGTGGCATGTTACCAATGTCAGTGATTCTATTTTCTGGGAAATGCCTCACTACATATTAAATCACAGGCCTCCATACTCCGTTTTTTTTTTTTAATTATTATTTATTTAATGGTAGAGCAGGACAGCAATCTGCACTGGACCTATCAGGAACAGATTATTTAGCAAGTTCAAGTCTCAGAGATAGGCAGGCAGGTTACCTAACATACATAAAACCACAGTTGCTGCAGGTCCATGCACACAAGACGATGCACAGTCTGTTGGAGATTTTCTTTTGTTCGTCCCCCTGAATTTGTTTTGTATGTGTTCTCTGTTTCAGCATGGAGGGAGGGGAACTATTCAGTAGGATCCAGGAGCGAGGAGACCAAGCTTTCACAGAGAAAGGTAGAATGTCATGAGAAAGTTTGTGAGGTTTTATTTCCTTCACCCTCCCTCCCTACCCGAAATAAATGGAAAATGTTTGCGTAGTTTTTGCAGGAACTTTATTGGGTTCAGTTTTGTTTCCTGTTGTTTTAAAATTCTATTTTTATCTTTAAAACAATTTAATGTCACAGCTCAAGAAAATGAGAAGCTACCAGAATTGGATAGATTTAGGCGTAATGTGGAAAGCTAAATGAAAACTTCCTGACACACATCTGCCTATACACTTCAGTACTAAACTGCAGCAGCCCCTGCTGTTCTAATTCCTGGTCTTCACACAGCTCTGCCAGTGTACCCCCATCCTGACATGCAGTCCCTCCCTTGAGTAACATCAGTTGTGTTCAGCTGTGTTGTGAATAAATGATTATAACAAACACTTTGTACAGAAAGACTACATGACTTGTTTAAGGTCCCACAGTGAATCAGTGAGAGAGCCTGGAACACAACAGCCTTGTTGTTGTTTATTAATTATCATTATTACTTATTATTTGGACAGTACCATAAATGCACATGACTGCAAAATTCTACTTGCCCACTCACTGCAGGAAAAGTGGCTTACTTTTACTGAAGAGCAAAATATTATTAGAGTTGTTTCATTATTGTTCTCACAAAATGGGTAGGTGAGTGGAACTTATACCTGGATTGTAAATTATCGTGACCATTGTGCAAGGTTGGTATAGAGGCCAGGTTTTCTGATTCCCAGTTTCCTATGCTAATCTCTAGTCTATGACGAATCCCTCAAGAGGCATGAGTGACTCATGCGGAGCACATGAACTGGATGCAGTTCTAAGGAGTGTTCTGTGTAATTCTGTCAGATACAAGATTCGAGAGGGAAAGAATGGTGCTGTGACTGTAGGTGATTCTACCCTGATAACATGACTTTTATGCATTATATACCTAGTGTGTTTTCTCCCAGATACCCATTCACAAACCTTTGGAGACTACAAGAGAAAAATACTCCACTTGCACAATGGCGCTGAGAAATTAATGTCCCTCTTTCTTTGAGGGACCTCCCAAGATCCACTGACCTTCCACTCTTCACCCATCTAGCAGATAGCTTCCCAGTGCTCAAGGCCTAGGTAGTAAAGGAGAAGGGTATACAAGGTTTTAACCTCACAGCTTCCAAATGGGATGCATTTTTCCTGCCTTTGATTGTTCCTGCCTGACAGGGCACAGTTTATGCCCTCGAGCAAAAGCATCTCTGTATCAGTCCAGACCTGGATATTCCAGCCAAAGCAGGAGACTTGCTTTATACCCAGATGGGTCTATATAAACTTGGTTTTCTTGGTTACAGTAAAATAATCTTGGCTTTTCCCCTCAGCCTCTGAAGCTGAGAGCATCACTTTAGTTATGCTCCTACCTGTGCAGGAAACAAACAGCCAAGTTAAAGATATTAACTCTGACCTCTGTTAATTCAGACAATATTGGATAATGTAGATATTTCTGTAGACTTGTGGATTTAAGACAGTGTTGACCCATAACAATGGGAACAGAGAAAATGAGAGAGAGACTGCAGGTGAAGTACCTTAGGGGGTTGAAGCCAAAACCAGCACTTGCTCTAGAATAGCTGCTCAGCACACAGAGCCGGGGGAGGCCACAACCCTCTTTCTCTGAAATGACCTCCCACATAAAGCTCTTCTGGCTGCCGCAAGTCGACGAACTCTTCCAGGCTCCACATCACAAAACCTGTTGCTGGGGGGACAGACAGCTCACTGGCCACTAGAATTTCCTGCTGGAGTATGTATCAAGTGCAGAAGTTAGACATAAAAATAAACTGGAGAAAAAATATACTAGGATAGGCTTTGCAGGATAAAATGGCTAATTCACTTTTATTTTTATATGAGGAGACACTGTTAAGGCTGATGAGGACCAAAAATGTAACCTACCATGATATTATTATATTATGATGTTGATCTGATGCTAAAAGAACTTTTAGCCCCTCCAGAAGTAGGTGTGCACTGTTAGTTAAACTTCTCTGCTGGGCAACCCAAAAATATACCAGGGGCACTTTCTTCATGATCTTGCGCATTGCTCCATCACTCTGTTATGCCCTTAATACTCTGTTCTGATGAGCACAGCAGAGCATTAATTTACAAGTACACACAGAGCAGGAGTCTCAACTATTTAAGTTACTGTGCCTGCTCATGAGAATGGCTGAGCTGCCAGGGGGATTGTGGGGTATGATTGCCTTCAAAACAAAAACACAGCTGTTGAGGCTAATTTTAGGATTTCCAGCATTGACGCTAGCCCTGTATACAGACAAGCTGTATGTAACTCAGAAACATTCCCAAGCATGTCTCTGAGCTACAGTGGGAATGTTAATATGACCTTTCTCTAAAATTATATTTATAGAAGCCTCTGAGATAATGAGAGACATCGGAACAGCCATCCAGTATCTGCATGCAGTGAACATTGCCCATAGAGATGTCAAGGTGAGACCTGAATGTGCCTGTGCAGGGGAGAAAGGTTAAACTGAAAACAAGTGGATGATGCTGATTTATATAACATTTACGAGTACAGTAAAGCATAGGTGCTGGAAGGAGGGGTGCTGCTGCACCCCCTGGCTTGAAGTGGTTTCGATTATATACAGGGTTTACATTTTCGTTCAATGGCTCTCAGCACCCCCACTGTACAAATTGTTCCAGCACCCCTGCAGTAAAGTGGCCAAAGTGTACCTGTTTCATGCCAGTGTTGGGAGGAGCTGTCATGCCCAATCAGTTCAGGGTCTGAATACCCACGCACACCAAGGCCAATGGTTTTCAGTTACATATGCAACACAAAAAGATCTAGGTAGTCATAACTGGTATTAAAGAGACATTCAACTTGAAGTCAAGTTAATTTTAAAAAATGTATTAAGTTGTTTCAGATACTGCACCCACACCTGAAGTCGCCTTGTCAGTTTTTGTGGGTTCAGAATCATATTTTCCTATTTTATGTTTTCAAAAAGACCACAGTAAAAGGAGAAACTGCCTATGTAGAGGAAAGTATGAAACCAATTCCACACAAAATAAACAAACTGGGGAGGGGGAAGAGAAATTAATATTAGACTTGATCCTGACTAACAGGGAGGTATTGGTTGCAAAGGAGGAAGGCAACTTGGGTTGATCATGAAATGACCGATTTCACGATTCTAAGGAAAGGAAGGAATGAGAGCAGCGGAATAAGGATAATGGGGTTTAAAAAAGCAGACTTCAGAAAACTCAGAACTAGTAGGTAAGGTCCCAAGGGAAGAAAATCTAAAGAAAAAAGAATTCAGAAAAGCTGGCAATTTCTCAGTGATAATATTAAAGGCACAATGATAAACTATCCTGTTGCGAAGAAGAGATAGTAGGACTAGCAAGAAATCAGTATGGCTGCTTTAATGACCCGAAAATCAAAAAGGAATCCTACAGGGAAACATGGACAAATTGCTAAGGATGAATACAAAAGAACAGTGCAAATGTGTAGGGACAAAATCAAAAAGGCTAAGGTACAAAATTAGTTACATCAAGCAAGGACTATAAAAGACAATAAGAGGTTTTATAAACACATTAGGAGCAAGAAAAGGATGAAGGAAAGCATAGGTACGCTACTTAGTGGGAAAAGAAAGCTAATGATGGAAGACATCAAGAAAATTGGGGTGTTTTGTTTTGTTTTAGTCGTCACTAAAAAAAAGGTTTCATTGTGACCAGATGCTTAACACAATTAATATTAACAGCAAGGGGGAAGGAACACAAGCCAGAATAGGAAAAAAATAGGTTAAAGAATATTTAGATATTTAAGATGTATTCAAGTTGGCAGGGCCTGATGAAATTCACCCTAAGGTACTTAATGAACTTGCTGAAGCAATCTGAGAACCATTAGCGATTATCTTTGGGACCTCACCAGTCCTCCATGAGTTCTCAGAGGACTGGAGAAGGGCAAATCTTTAAAAAGGGGAACAAAGAGGAGCTGGGAAATTATAACCAGTCAGCTTAACTTTGATACCTGGAAAGATACCGGAACAAATTAGTAAACAATCAGTTTAGAAGCAACTAGAGAATAATAAGGTGCTAAATAGTAGCAAATATAGATTTGTGAAGAACAAATCATGCCAAGCCAACCTAATTTCCTTCTTTGACAGGGTTACTGACCTACGAGACAGGGGAAAGCAGTAGATGTTATACATCTTGATTTTAATAAGGCTTTTGACACAGACCCACATAACATTCTCATAAGCAAACTAGGAAAATGTGGCCCACACTATAAAGTGGGTGCACAACTGGTTGAAAGGTCGTACTCAAAAAATTTACAGCTGCTACCAAACTGGGAGGGTTGCAAGCACTTTTGAGGACAGGATTAGAATTCAAATGACCTTGACAAATTGGAGAATTGGCCTTTTATTGAATTTCATCTTGTTGATTTCAGACAAAGTACTAAACTTAGGAAGGAAAAATCAAATGTGCAACTACAAAATGGGGAAAAACTGCTAGACACAGTACAGCTGAAAAAGATCTGGGGTTACAGTGGATCACAAATTGAATATGAGTCATCAATATGATGCAATTATAAAAAAAGTGTAATATCATTCTGGGGTGTATTGACAGGAGTATTATATGTAAGACAAGGGATATGATTGTCCTGTTCTATTCAGCAGAGGTGACACTCCAGCTGAATATTGTATCCAGTTTTGGGCACCACACTTTAGGAAAGATGTAGACAAATTGGAGAGAATCTAGAGGAGAGCAACAAAAATGTTGAAAGGTTTAAAAAACTAACCTATGAGGAAATGTTAAAATAACTGGGTATGTTTTGTCCTGAGAAAAGAAGACAAGACAGGGGAACCTGATAGATCTTCAGACATGTTAAGGAATGTTATATAAAGGACAGTGATCAATAGTTCTTTATGTCCACCGAAGGTAGGCCAAGAAGTATTGGACTTAATCTTCAGTAAGGGAGATTTAGGTTAGATATTAGGAAAAAAGTTCTATCTATAAGGATGGTTGAGTATTGGGATGGGTTCCCAAGGGAGGCTGTGGAATCCCTGTCACTGGAGGTTTTTGAGAACAGGTAAGACAAACAACTGTCAGGGATGGTCTAGGATGTTATACTTGGTCCTGCTTCAGGGTGTGGGGGCTGGACTAGATAACCTCTCAAGAATCATAGAATCATAGAATATCAGGGTTGGAAGGGACCTTGGGAGGTTATCTAGCCCTACCCCCTGCTCAAAGCAGGACCAATCCCCAATTAAATCATCCCAGACAGGGCTTTGTCAAGCCTAACCTTAAAAACCTCTAAGGAAGGAGATTCCACCACCTCCCCAGGTAATCCATTCCAGTGCTTCACCACCCTCCTAGTGAAAAAGTTTTTCCTAATATCCAAACTAAACCTCCCCCACTGCAACTTGAGACCATTACTCCTTGTTCTGTCATCTGGCACCACTGAGAACAGTCTAGATCCATCCTCTTTGGAACCCCCTTTCAAGTAGTTGAAAGCAGCTATCAAATCCCCCCTCATTCTTCTCTTCTGCAGACTAAACAATCCCAGTTCCCTCAGCCTCTCCTCATAAGTCATGTGGCTCCAGCCCCCTAATCATTTTTGTTGCCCTCCGCTGGACTCTTTCCAAGTTTTCCACATCCTTCTTGTAGTGTGCGGCCCAAAACTGGACACAGTACTCCAGATGAGGCCTCACCAATGTCAAATAGAGGGGAATGATCACATCCCTCGATCTGCTGGCAATGCCCCTACTTATACAACCGAAAATGCTGTTAGCCTTCTTGGCAACAAGGGCACACTGTCGACTCATATCCAGCTTCTCGTCCACTGAAACCCCTAGGTCCTTTTCTGCAGAACTGCTGCCTAGCCATTCGGTCCCTAGTCTATAGCAGTGCATGGGATTCTTCCATCCTAAGTGCAGGACTCTGCACTTGTCCTTGTTGAACCTCATCAGATTTCTTTTGGCCCAATCCTCTAATTTGTCTAGGTCCCTCTTTATGATATCCCTACCCTCCAGCATATCTACCACTCCTCCCAGTTTAGTGTCATCTGCAAACTTGCTGAGGGTGCAGTCCATGCCGTTCTCCAGATCATTAATGAAGATATTAAAAAAAAACGGCCCCAGGACCAACCCTTGGGGCACTCTGCTTGATACCAGCTGCCAACTAGACATGGAGCCATTGATCACTACCCATTGAGCCCGACGATCTAGCCAGCTTTCTATCCACCTTATAGTTCATTCATCCAGCCCATACTTCTTTAACTTGCTGGCAAGAATACTGTGGGAGACCGTATCAAAAGCTTTGCTAAAGTCAAGAAATAACACGTCCACTGCTTTCCCCTCATCTACAGAGCCAGTTATCTTGTCATAGAAGGCAGTTAGGTTAGTCAGGCATGACTTGCCTTTGGTGAATACATGCTGACTGTTCCTGATCATTTTCCTCTCCTCTAAGTGCTTCAGAATTGATTCCTTGAGGACCTGCTCCATGATTTTTCCAGGGACTGAGGTGAGGCTGACTGGCCTGTAGTTCCCGTATCCTCCTCCTTCCCTTTTTTAAAGATGGGCACTATGTTAGCCTTTTTCCAGTCATCTGGGACCTCCCCCGATCACCATGAGTTTTC